AAGTGTCTAAGGATAGATGATGTACACGCCACAGAGTGACGACATTCACGACAAAGTGTCTAAGAACATGATGATGTACTAGTCACAGAGGGACGACATTCACGACAAAGTGTCTAAGGATAGATGATGTACTCGCCACAGAGTGACGACATTCACGACAAAGTGTCTAAGGATAGATGATGTACTAGCCACAGAGGGACGACATTCACGACAAAGTGTCTAAGGATAGATGATGTACTCTATGACCACAGTAGTGACGACAGTCACGACAAAGTGTCTAAGGATATGTGATGTACTAGTCCACAGAGTGACGACATGTCACGACAAAGTGTCAGGTTAGATGATGTAGACTGTACACAAGAGGGACGACATTCACGACAAAGTGTCTAAGGATAGATGATGTACTCGCCACAGGCCAGGCTCGTTTGTAAGACGTGTACACAAGTCTACGACCAGGTTAGTTTGTAAGACATGTACACAAGTCTACGACCAGGTTAGTATGTGAGACATGTACACAAATCTACGACCAGGTTAGTATGTGAGACATGTAAACTTGTCTATGACCAGGTTAGTATGTGAGACATGTACACAAGTCTACGACCAGGTTAGTATGTGAGACATGTAAACTTGTCTATGAACAGGCTTGTTTGTAAGACGTGTACACAAGTCTATGACTAGGCTCGTTTGTAAGACGTATACACAAGTCTACGACCAGGTAAGTATGTGAGACATGTACACTAGTCTATGACCAGGCTCGTTTGTAAGACGTGTACACAAGTCTACGACCAGGTAAGTATGTGAGACATGTACACAAGTCTATGACCAGGCTCGTTTGTAAGACGTGTAAACAAGTCTATGACCAGGTTAGTATGTAAGACATGTACACAAGTCTACGACCAGGTTAGTATGTAAGACATGTACACAAGTCTATGACCAGGTTAGTATGTGAGACATGTACACAAGTCTATGACCAGGCTTGTTTGTAAGACGTGTACACAAGTCTTAGACCAGGTTAGTATGTGAGACATGTACACAAGTCTAAGACCAGGTTAGTATGTGAGACATGTACACAAGTCTATGACCAGGTTAGTATGTAAGACATGTACACAAGTCTAAGACCAGGTTAGTATGTAAGACATGTACACAAGTCTATGACCAGGTTAGTATGTGAGACATGTACACAAGTGTATGACCAGGCTTGTATGTAAGACATGTACACAAGTCTAAGACCAGGTTAGTATGTAAGACATATACACAAGTCTAAGACCAGGTTAGTATGTGAGACATGTACACAAGTCTAAGACCAGGTTAGTATGTAAGACATATACACAAGTCTACGACCAGGTTAGTATGTAAGACATATACACAAGTCTACGACCAGGTTAGTATGTGAGACATGTACACAAGTCTATGAACAGGCTCGTTTGTAAGACGTGTACACAAGTCTTTGACCAGGCTCGTTTGTAAGACATGTACACAAGTCTATGACCAGGCTCGTTTGTAAGACATGTACACAAGTCTAAGACCAGGTTAGTATGTGAGAAATGTACACAAGTCTTTGACCAGGCTCGTTTGTAAGACGTGTACACAAGTCTATGACCAGGCTCGTTTGTAAGACGTGTACACAAGTCTATGACCAGGCTCGTTTGTAAGACATGTACACAAGTCTAAGACCAGGTTAGTATGCAAGACATGTACACAAGTCTAAGACCAGGTTAGTATGTAAGACATGTACACAAGTCTAAGACCAGGTTAGTATGTAAGACATGTACACAAGTCTAAGACCAGGTTAGTATGTAAGACATGTACACAAGTCTAAGACCAGGTTAGTATGTGAGACATGTACACAAGTCTAAGACCAGGTTAGTATGTAAGACATGTACACAAGTCTAAGACCAGGTTAGTATGTAAGACATGTTCACAAGTCTAAGACCAGGTTAGTATGTAAGACATGTACACAAGTCTACGACCAGGTTAGTATGTGAGACATGTACACAAGTCTATGACCAGGTTAGTATATGAGACATGTATACAAGTCTACGACCAGGTTAGTATGTAAGACATGTATACAAGTCTATGACCAGGTTAGTATGTGAGACATGTACACAAGTCTATGACCAGGTTAGTATGTGAGACATGTACACAAGTCTATGACCAGGTTAGTATGTAAGACATGTATACAAGTCTATGACCAGGTTAGTATGTAAGACATGTACACAAGTCTACGACCAGGTTAGTATGCAAGACATGTACACAAGTCTATGACCAGGTTAGTATGTGAGACATGTACACAAGTCTATGACCAGGTTAGTATGTGAGACATGTACACAAGTCTATGACCAGGTTAGTATGTGAGACATGTACACAAGTCTATGACCAGGTTAGTATGTAAGACATGTATACAAGTCTATGACCAGGTTAGTATGTGAGACATGTACACAAGTCTACGACCAGGTTAGTATGTGAGACATGTATACAAGTCTATGACCAGGTTAGTATGCAAGACATGTACACAAGTCTAAGACCAGGTTAGTATGTGAGACATGTACACAAGTCTACGACCAGGTTAGTATGTGAGACATGTACACAAGTCTATGACCAGGCTCATTTGTAAGACGTGTACACAAGTCTTGGACCATGTTAGTATGTGAGACATGTACACAAGTCTAAGACCAGGTTAGTATGTGAGACATGTACACAAGTCTATGACCAGGTTAGTATGTAAGACATGTACACAAGTCTATGACCAGGTTAGTATGTGAGACATGTACACAAGTCTAAGACCAGATTAAAATGTGAGACATGTACACAAGTCTATGACCAGGTTAGTATGTGAGACATGTACACAAGTGTATGACCAGGCTTGTATGTAAGACATGTACACAAGTGTATGACCAGGCTGGTATGTAAGACACAAGTCTACGATCAGGCTGGTATGTAAGACACAAGTCTACGATCAGGCTTGTATGCAAGAAATGCGGAGATTGATAAAGAAAAGAGAAACTTTACCAGTGGTAGAGAACGAATGTCGCCACGGGAGACCACTGAGAGTGTTAGCCTCACAGCTCTCTCACTAGCCGCTATCAAATAATGAACATGGCCGATCCTCTAAAAACACTCGGATCACCGGTTAGACAAACAGACTTAAAGGAAAACCAGGCTGATAAAGTCTTTTTACATCAATGAATGGACCGCCGCATTCGTCGACAAATCATCGGTAAGCCGCGGCGCTATCAGAGTTGACAAACTCACGCCATCAGACTCCAAACCCGGTTTTCCAATTGAGCAGAAGCCGAGGACTCTATAAGACCCCTGAGTGACTGGGTAAATTGATGCATTCATATCGGGCCCTATTCAGCTGCTCTTGTTTTGTGTGCCAGGCCTTCACGTCGACAACGGTGTTTTTCTAAGTCCCTATAATATCATTCTGTATGTTCTGGAAGTTCAACAACGGGTAAAGGTGCCGCGCACTAAACGGGGAATGAGTGACTATAGAGCAACAAAAACTGTATGCAACGTGAAGGTTCTACTAGACACTTCCTATGGCTGGCTTCTATAGGGGCTAGCCGGAAGATTGAAACGATAAGGAGCGTCTTCGCAAGACAGGGTGCTCCAGCGCTTCCGTAGCGAGGGAGGCGCAGGACCGGGTAAGACAACTGTGACAAAACTGTTAACACTGATGAGAAACGTTTGTCCCGGTGTTAACCTCATGGCTCCCCCAGCTCATTCACGGAGTTTTTTTAGGGGCAGGTGTGACTCAGCCAACGTCTGTGTAGTGTGGGAGATGTGCAGAAACATGATGTGTCGACCATTACATCTACTGGCATGTACTGGTGTCAGCCAGTGCCACAAGGCGAGCCTGAAGTTCAGAACACGGTCAATGGTGGGCAGCTGCGGCTGGCCTGATAGAGCTACACCAAGGCCAGGTTGACTGTCTTCGCCTAGGCATCTCTTCTATGCGGTTGGCCTTATTAACCACTTGTCTCACAATAATTCTTGCACACCACTGCAATTATCTCTGGAATCCGTGGGTTGAACCCTGACACACAGAGTTGCCAGGCGAATCACTCCATTTAGGATCACCGACTGCCAGTCAAGGACAGAACAGTCAAAATAAAGGACCCTTTTTTATGCAATCCTATATAGCGTAACTATGACATACTTCGCACTCTGTGAGTCGTGTGGTCAATATCCCGCCGACTGCCTTTGCTTCCCCAGATATTTCCTAGTACTTCCCAGTGTGGGTTCAAAGGCCCTATAGACGGAAAACAAGAACACACCCACTGCCTACCCACAAGCATGTCGTAAGAGACGACCAATTGGGAGTTTCCTTCGAAGTCGGAGTGCATCTTCCTGAGAGGCAAGGAAAAAACAGTCTGCATACTAATGAGTCAGATATGTAAAACGGATGCACAGGCAACACTCAGATTTCGGAACAGGACCATAACTTCACGAGAGAGTTTTCAGCTTGTGAACAAGAAGAAGAAGAAGAAGAAGAAGAAGAAGAAGAAGAAGAAGAAGAAGAAGAAGAAGAAGAAGAAGAAGAAGAAGAAGAAGAAGAAGAAGAAGAAGAAGAAGAAGAAGACGATTTTCTAGTACCAATATTAGTGAATGGCTCGATCAGAGAGCACAGGTTCGTAATAAAAATAAAACCCGGCCTTGGTGTCAGTGTGAGCCCAAGATCTTCCTGCGGTCACAGATCAGCGGCGTTGATTCAAGGGGGACATAAATCATGGTTGAGTCTGATGACAGCAAAACCAACTAACGGTAACACTAGTGACAGAATGACAGACAGACAGACAGACAGACAGACAGACAGACAGACAGACAGACAGACAGACAGACAGACAGACAGACAGACAGACAGACAGACAGACAGACAGACAGACAGACAGACAGACAGACAGACAGACAGACAGACAGACAGACAGACAAGACAGACAGACAGACAGACAGACAAACAGACCCGAGACGACATCTATATTCTAGGGGTGACTTACCTGGCTGGCATCCTCCATACCTCCCAGCGGGTTGCCGTGAAGACTGAGCAGGGATGGATCCTGGTCGAGGCCGAGGCCGTGATGAGAGCCATGGTGGAGAATGTCTGAGCGCCTCAAGCCGGCCATGTAATCCGAGCGACGACTGTCGTAGCCGCCCAGCCCTGGGTGCATGTTGAGCGGGTCGTCCCGGCGGCCCAGCATGCCCCTGTCTGATGGGTGGAGCTGGTTGTAATGCTGGCTAGACTGCTGGAAGGGGTTGACGTGGCTGTAAGGGTCCACCTGGTGGTGGTGAAAGTCCATGGCTTGCTGTGGCTGGTAGGGCGGCGGGAAGTATGGCGGCTGGAAGTCCGCGGCCCCAGCTGGCGTGTGGCTGAGTCTGGGGGCCGAGGAGAAGGAACCGGAGCCGGAGCTGACCAAATGACCGAAGCCGCCATGGTGGCCCACCAGATCTGGCCGTCGATCCTGCGGAATAAAAGTTAAGTTGAGAATACCGGAAAAGATCAAGGCTGGGGGCAACACGAGAGAAACCAGGTCAAGTCAAAACATGGCAGAAATACCTGTTAGGCCAGAGAGAACATGCAGAATCAAAAATCCAGTCATGGAAGACTGAGGGAACAAAAGGCAAAAAACAAAGATACAGCATAAAGCACAACAACAGAGACCAAAATGGGAGAAACAATTTCAAAGCAACAAAGTACCAACATGGGAGAAACAATATCACAACAATAAAGTACCAACATGGGAGAAACAATATCACAACAATAAAGTATCAACATGGGAGAAACAATATCACAACAATAAAGTACCAACATGGGAGAAACAATATCACAACAATAAAGTACCAACATGGGAGAAACAATATCACAACAATAAAGTACCAACATGGGGGAAACAATATCACAACAATAAAGTACCAACAGCGGGGAAACAATATCACAACAATAAAGTACCAACATGGGAGAAACAATATCACAACAATAAAGTACCAACATGGGAGAAACAATATCAAAACAATAAAGTACCAACATGGGAGAAACAATATCAAAACAATAAAGTACCAACATGGGAGAAACAATATCAAAATAATAAAGTACCAACATGGGAGAAACAATATCACAACAATAAAGTACCAACATGGGAGAAACAATATCACAACAATAAAGTACCAACATGGGAGAAACAACTTCACAACAATAAAGTACCAACATGGAAGAAAAAATATCACAGCAATAAAGTACCAACATGGGAGAAACAACTTCACAACAATAAAGTACTAACATGGGAGAAACAATTTCAAAACAAAAAAGTACCAACATGGGAGAAACAATATCACAACAATAAAGTACCAACATGGGGGAAACAATTTCAAAACAAAAAAGTACCAACATGGGAGAAACAATATCACAACAATAAAGTACCAACATGGGGGAAACAATTTCAAAATAACAAAGTACCAACATGGGAGAAACAATATCAAAACAATAAAGTATCAACATGGGGGAAACAATTTCAAAACAACAAAGTACCAACATGGGAGAAACAATATCACAACAATAAAGTACCAACATGGGAGAAACAATTTCAAACCAACAAAGTACCAACATGGGAGAAACAATAAAGAACCTTTAAGAAACCAACTCAAGACAAAAGAGAACACGGCAGAAACATGATTGATACAGAAAAACTAAATGACAAAACAAAGAAAACATAAACGCGACGACAGTGGGAAGACAGTTTCTAGTCAAGAAACAGGACAGTGACGGTTGGATCCAGCAAATACAAGAGCAAAACAAGGAAAACGAGATCAAGGGAGAAGAACATGGAAGAGAATATGAGACAATCCTAAAGAACACGGTACACAAAATTATAACAATCTTAAGAACACGGAAAGCAAGGCAAACAGCACGAAAGGCAAGGCAAACAGCACGAAAGGCAAGGCAAACAGCACGAAAGGCAAGGCAAACAGCACGAAAGGCAAGGTAAACAGCATGAAAGGCAAGGCAAACAGCACGGAAGGCAAGGCAAACAGCACGGAAAGCAAGGTAAACAGCACGAAAGGCAAGGCAAACAGCACGAAAGGCAAGGCAAACAGCACGAAAGACAAGGCAAACAGCACGGAAAGCAAGGCAAACAGCACGAAAGGCAAGGCAAACAGCACGAAAGGCAAGGCAAACAGCACGAAAGGCAAGGCAAACAGCACGAAAGGCAAGGCAAACAGCACGAAAGGCAAGAGACAGAACACATAATCAAGGGAAAAAACAAGGAAAGCAATGGAAAAGACACGCAATTCGAGAGAAATAACACGGATGACAAGGAACAGAACACGGGTGACAAGGAACAGAACACGGATGACAAGGAACAGAACACATAAGTCAAGGGAAATGACACGCAAGTCAGGAAATAGAACTCGCAAGTCAGGGAATAGAACACGTAAGTCAAGGGATAGGACACGCAAAGCAAGATACAGGACACGCAAGTCAGGGGATAGGAAACGTAAGTCAAGGTATAAGACACGTAAGTGAAGGGATAGAACACGTAAGTCAAGGGATAGGACACGCAGAGGAAAATACAGGACACGTAAGTCAAGAAATAGGACATGCAAGTCAGGGAATAGAACACGCAAGACAAGGAATATGACAGGCAAGTCAAGAGACAGGACACGCATGTGTACTTGTATAGACTAGGTACAATACCTGTGACAAGTAGACCTACACATACATGCTTTGTATAAACATCCTCAAACAGACGAGCTGTGACGTCTACATCAATGCGTGCTCGCCCTGTCTGCACAAGCCCAGAAATAAGAACCAGAACTCAGCAATGTGCTACAAGAACAGGGAGATATTGTCTCTATCAAAGACACAATGCAGAAATGGCTTGTTAATGCCATGTCCAACAGAAGGTTCCAGCAGAAGTGGCGGTATGTTTATCCATCAGCTGACATTTAGAGGGATCATACGTACACAGGGACATTTAAAATCTAGACAAATCCTGGACAGAAATTTTCAAATCTGTGCACAAACTGAGCAACAGTCGTCTGGAGTAGAAAGGCACTGGGGTCTAGACAATGGTCTCTAACCACATTCTGAAATGCAGATGAAGATCTGTTAAAGACACGTGAAATCTAGACGGCCATCTATCTCCAATTGGAGCTGTCAAATATAAACACAGATGTGAAAGAGAAGTTTTATAATCTGGACAAGTTCATAACAAACGGTTTCTGAAAAAAGTACCACGACTAGAGAGGAGAAGTTTTCAAATCTGGACAAGTTCATAACAAAAGGTTTCTGAAAAAAAGTAACATGACTAGAGAAGAGAAGTTTTCAGATCTGGACAAGTTCATAACAAACGGTTTCTGAAAAAAGTACCATGACTAGAGAAGAGAAGTTTTCAAATCTGGACAAGCTCATAGCAAAAGGTTTCTGAAAAAAGTACCATGACTAGAGAGATCTATTGTTGACATGAACCTACAATCATCTGCTGATGACAGGAGTAGTCAGCCAATGGTGAAAGAGTATTCGTGCAGACACTTCTCACAGCTGATCGACGATGACATTGTCTAGCAGGTATCTGGAGATGACATGGCTCTGACATCAAGCCGATATCTCCGTGTCCATAACTATCTCATAATCAAATCACCACCCCCCCCCCTACCACCGCGCCCCCACCTCCCCCCCCCCCAATCCCTAACTCACTGCAAAGAACAAAAAAAGTTGACTTAGAGAGGTAATGGAAGGCGTGAATCACACAAGCAGTGCCACTGACAAGCAGACACACCATACTGGAAACATTTTGGATGAAAATATACTTGAGATGAGAACTGGCTCAGAGCCGTGACGGCACCAGCGGTTCGGTTCTGTAACATGTTGATGATGTGTGCGCGGAAAGGAATGTAAGGTGAAGAGACAAATCTGGGTAACAGACTGGTAGTAAACAACGGTGACAACAACGACCCCGCAGCAGATGTGTCCACTGGCATATTGGCAGACGACACTCCCATCACACCTCTGTGGCTGGTCAGCCCTAACATGTTATCGGTAAACAGCCAGTTGTCAACCTGCGACCACAGACAGCTCATGGTTCGGAAACCACTAGATCATTTTTGGATGCCCTCTTTATGATTGGATAATCCCCTCTCTCTCTCTCTCTCTCTCTCTCTCTCTCTCTCTCTCTCTCTCTCTCTCTCTCTCTCTCTCTCTCTCTCTCTCTCTCTCTCTATCTCTCTCTCTCCCCGCCCCACACATACGCACTGTCCTGTTGCAGACAAAGGCAAACGAACAGTCAGGCAAGGACGTCACACACCCTTCAACTGTGAAGCTATGACGCACTCTACTACAAGGCACCATCAGGCGATGCTGGCCCAACCATGTTACAAGAAGCAGCTCACATCTGGGCTAGGATACTGTATGTACCCGGGCCGGGGCCTCAGACAATCCACAACCTCACACCGACGGGATACTGTATGTACCCAGGCCGGGGCCTCAGACAATCCCCAACCTCACACCGACGGGATACTGTATGTACCCAGGCCGGGGCCTCAGACAAGCAACAACCTCACACCGACGGGATACTGTATGTACCCAGGCCGGGGCCTCAGACAATCCCCAACCTCACACCGACGGGATACTGTATGTACCCAGGCCGGGGCCTCAGACAAGCAACAACCTCACACCGACGGGATACTGTATGTACCCAGGCCGGGGCCTCAGACAATCCACAACCTCACACCGACGGGATACTGTATGTACCCAGGCCGGGGCCTCAGACATGCCACAACCTTACACTGACGAGATACTGTGTGTACCCAGGCCGGGGCCTCAGACAAGCAACAACCTCACACCGACGGGATACTGTATGTACCCAGGCCGGGGCCTCAGACAAGCAACAACCCCACACCGACGGGATACTGTATGTACCCAGGCCGGGGCCTCAGACAAGCAACAACCTCACACCGACGGGATACTGTATGTACCCAGGCCGGGGCCTCAGACAAGCAACAACCTCACACCGACGGGATACTGTGTGTACCCAGGCCGGGGCCTCAGACAAGCCACAACCTCACACCGACGGGATACTGTATGTACCCAGGCCGGGGCCTCAGACAAGCCACAACCTCACACCGACGGGCACTGTATGTACCCAGGCCGGGGCCTCAGACAAGCCACAACCTCACACCGACGGGATACTGTATGTACCCAGGCCGGGGCCTCAGACAAGCCACAACCTCACACCGACGGGATACTGTATGTACCCAGGCCGGGGCCTCAGACAAGCCACAACCTCACACCGACGGGATACTGTATGTACCCAGGCCGGGGCCTCAGACAAGCCACAACCTCACACCGACGGGATACTGTATGTACCCAGGCCGGGGCCTCAGACAAGCAACAACCTCACACTGACGAGATACTGGAGATGGTGGCGGTGACCAATCGGTTATTGATAACGACGAGGTCGGTGTTAATTGATGGCTGGTGCAGCTTGTTCAGTGCACAGTGCGCCCACACTTGCGTGCACATGGGAGAGAGAGAGCAGAGATGGATAGACGGACTCACGGACGGACAGACAGACAGACATGATAGGGATGTGGAAGATGTGACTAGAGACTAGGCAGGCAAGGAGTCTCGTTATGAATGCAACCAACACGATCTGAGCCATCTTCCCAAGTGTGATACAACACAGCCAGACCCCACACGTTCCTGTTACAGTGCAATATGAGACCTGGACACAGATACAACATGGGTGGGTGGGGGGGGGGGGGGGAGAGCAACCTAATTTCCCCCCCCCCCCTCCGTACATAAGTTGTAGTCCCTCTGTTATCTGTATGCAGACTGTTGGTGCACTGCCTCACCGGCAGTTACACTACTCTGTTATCTGTATGCAGACTGTTGGTACACTGCCTCACCGGCAGTTACACTACTCTGTTATCTGTATGCAGACTGTTGGTACACTGCCTCACCGGCAGTTACACTACGACTTGGAAAGAAACTGTAAAACAGATGTGCGTGTAACTGTCAGATTCTGAAACAATACTAATTGTCCAGTGGTGGTCGAACACCCCGAACCTCCTGCCGGAGTTTACAGTCGGTGAGCGGGACCAGGATGGGGAGTATCGGAGCGTGTTCTTTAACCTGAGACTAGTTATCTGTAAAATACATTTCTGCACGCCTTTAGGCATATAGGGCATGTAAGCCTAGACCTAAATGTTATAGACCAATCGGCTTTCGGTATGCGATGTTGTCAACATCACTCGGTCGTCTTTACATCCCAGGAATTTTCCTGCTAGCCATTTAAGACCTGGAAGCTAAAACCATTTTTTTAAATCCGGCTCCATCAGGACCTGACTATCTCCTTTAGATCTACGGGCGAGTCTCTAGACAAAAAACACTGGTCGTAACTGCCGATACATCAGGCAAGCCAGCTATGTAACAAGGTTGGTTACAACTGCCGATACATCCGATACTATCAGGCGATACATCAAGCCAGCTATGCAAAGTTGGTTTTAACTGCCGTACACAGGTTGTAACAAGGTTGGTTACAACTGCCGATACATCAGGCAAATGAGCTATGTAACAAGGTTGGTTTTAACTGCCGATACATCAGGCAAATGAGCTATGTAACAAGGTTGGTTACAACTGCCGATACATCAGGCAAATGAGCTATGTAACAAGGTTGGTTTTAACTGCCGATACATCAGGCAAATGAGCTATGTAAAATGAGCTATGAGCTATGTAACAAGGTTGGTTTTAACTGCCGATACATCAGTCAAATGAGCTATGTAACAAGGTTGGTTACAACTGCCGATACATCAGGCAAGCCAGCTATGTAACAAGGTTGGTTTTAACTGCCGATACATCAGGCAAATGAGCTATGTAACAAGGTTGGTTACAACTGCCGATACATCAGGCAAATGAGCTATGTAACAAGGTTGGTTTTAACTGCCGATACATCAGTCAAATGAGCTATGTAACAAGGTTGGTTTTAACTGCCGATACATCAGGCAAATGAGCTATGTAACAAGGTTGGTTACAACTGCCGATACATCAGGCAAATGAGCTATGTAACAAGGTTGGTTTTAACTGCCGATACATCAGGCAAACGAGCTATGTAACAAGGTTGGTTTTAACTGCCGATTCATCAGGCAAACGAGCTATGTAACAAGGTTGGTTACAACTGAGCAATAATCCCAACAACTCACAACTCTAAATATAAACTAAACAACAACATTGGAAAACACTCTAGTTAGAGGAAATGAGTTGTCGATGAGCAAGTAAACAGATCGGAATTCACCTCGGAACTATCGTACACTCCAAAGGCTGAAGGCATGCTCCTGTGATGACTGCTGACACTAGGACTTGCACACACTAGACTACTGCTGCTGGAACTGACGCTGTTGTTGCGGGAGATGTTGACTAGTCGACTGTTGTACTGCTGCTGCTGTTCCTCATGTCGGCTCAGTTCTTCGCTAAGCTTTCTCTGGTGCTGGTGTTGAAGATGAGTTAACCCTGGGTGACTTCTGGGGTCACCAAAACTGTCAGCACTGCTGCTGTCTGTGTGGAGGTCAACAGCCACGCTACCCACCGGGAACTGATAGTTGTTGTTGTTGTTGTTGTAGGTGTACCTAGAATCCGCTGTTGTTGCTGCTACTGGTCCCTTGGCTAAAACCAGAGACATTCCTAATAAAAAAAAACGTCTGGGTTAGAAGTGAGACACAAGTCACCTGTGAAAACTGTTGTCAGTCAGCAAACTTACATGATACGTGTGTTTATGCTGATCTCTCATCTACAGGCTGTTCAATACGTCCGTTTGTGATTCTTGTGTGTCAGATGTCGACTGTTCAATGTAGTAAGTTGTGATTTATGTATCTCTAATGTCGACTGTTCAATGTAGTAAGTTGTGATTTATGTATCTCTAATGTCGACTGTTCAATGTAGTAAGTTGTGATTTATGTATCTCTAATGTCGACTGTTCAATGTAGTAAGTTGTGATTTATGTATCTCTAATGTCGACTGTTCAATGTAGTAAGTTGTGATTTATGTATCTCTAATGTCGACTGTTCAATGTAGTAAGTTGTGATTTATGTATCTCTAATGTCGACTGTTCAATGTAGCAAGTTGTGATTTATGTATCTCTAATGTCGACTGTTCAATGTAGCAAGTTGTGATTTATGTATCTCTAATGTCGACTGTTCAATGTAGCAAGTTGTGATTTATGTATCTCTAATGTCGACTGTTCAATGTAGCAAGTTGTGATTTATGTATCTCTAATGTCGACTGTTCAATGTAGCAAGTTGTGATTTATGTATCTCTAATGTCGTCTTTTCAATGTAGCAAATTGTGATTTATGTATCTCTAATGTCGTCTGTTCAATGTAGCAAATTGTGATTTATGTATCTCTAATGTCGTCTGTTCAATGTAGCAAGTTGTGATTTATAAATCTCTAATGTCGTCTTTTCAATGTAGCAAGTTGTGATTTATATTTCTCTAATGTCGTCTGTTCAATGTAGCAAGTTGTGATTTATAAATCTCTAATGTTCTCTAATTTCGACTGTTCAATATAGCAAGTTGTGATTTATATATCTCTAATGTCGACTGTTCAATGTAGCAAGTTGTGATTTATATATCTCTAATGTCGACTGTTCAATGTAGCAAGTTGTGATTTATTTATACCAGATGTCGACTGTTCAATGTAGCAAGTTGCGATTTATATATCTCTAATGTCGACTGTTCAATGTAGCAAATTGTGAGTTATATGTCTCTAATGTCGACTGTTCAATGTAGCAAGTTGTGATTTATGTATCTTAAATGTAGACTGTTCAATATAGCAAGGTTTATGATTTATGTATCATAGATGTAGACTGCTCAATATAGCAAGTTGTAATTTATGTATCTTAGATGTAGACTGTTCAATAAAGCAAGGTGTGATTTATGTATTATAGATGTAAACTGCTCAATATAGCAAATTGTGATTTATGTATCTTAGATGTAGACTGTTCAATAAAGCAAGGTGTGATTTATGTATCATAGATGTAAACTGTTCAATAAAGCACGTTGTGAGTTATGTATCGTAGATGTAGACTGTTCAATAAAGCAAGTTGTGATTTATGTATCTTAGATGTAGACTGTTCAATATAGCAAGTTGTGATTTATGTATCATAGATGTAGACTGTTCAATATAGCAAGGTTTATGATTTATGTATCATAGATGTAAACTGTTCAATAAAGCTAGTTGTGATTTATGTATCTTAGATGTAGACTGTTCAATAAAGCAAGGTGTGATTTATGTATCATAGATGTAAACTGCTCAATAAAGCAAGGTGTGATTTATGTATCATAGATGTAAACTGCTCAATAAAGCAAGGTGTGATTTATGTATCTTAGATGTAAACTGCTCAATAAAGCAAGGTGTGATTTGTGTAGCTCGAAGTTTGTAAGACTGCTACATATAGCAAATGTTTCGATGAGTTCTAGATTTATGTATCATAGATGTAAACATGTTCAATAAAGCTGAAATTGTTATAATTACAAGTTTTAAATTTAGATCACAGTATACTGTTCAATCTAAAGCAAGTTCGCTATGTTCATAGATGAAACTGCTCAAATAAAGCAAGGTGTGATTCAAGTATATTAGATGAAAATTGCAGTCTATATGTGTCAAGGTCGTCAAGATTCATGTATCTTAGATGTAAACTGCTCAATAAAGCAAGGTGTGATTTGTGTAGCTCGAAGTTTAGACTGTTTAAATACATTTACTTTAGAATGTTCGATGAGTTCTAGAGCTAAATACTCCATTTGTCGTAGTCTACATGTTCGCTTTTCTGAAATAGTTATAATCTACATGTTTTATAGCCTACAAGATTCACAGTCTATATGTGTCACAGTCTACAAGATTCACAGTCTATGTGTCACAGTCTACAAGATTCACAGTCTATATGTGTCACAGTCTACAAGATTCACAGTCTATATGTGTCACAGTCTTCAAGATTCACAGTCTATATGTGTCACGCCTACAAGATTCACAGTCTATATGTGTCACAGCCTACAAGATTCACAGTCTATATGTGTCACAGTCTACATGTGTCACAGTCTACATGTGTCAGAGTCTACAAGTGTCACAGTCTACATGTATCACAGTCTACAAGAGTCACAGTCTACAAGTGACACAGTCTACAAGTGTCACAGTCTACAAGTGTCACAGTCTACAAGTATCACAGTCTACAAGTGTCACAGTCTACAAGTATCACAGTCTACAAGTGTCACAGTCTACAAGTGTCACAGTCTACAAGTGTCACAG